TTTTATTCTGAATAAAACTATTGTAGGGTTTTAAACAAAGTGAGATAACCTAAGTTATGCTTTTAAAGGATCATTTTAGCTGTTGAGTTGAAAATGAGACTATAGAATCAGAGAAATGAGCGAGAAACTACTTGTCATAATCCAGATGAGAAATGTATCAAAATAGTTTTGTTTTTAAAAGCACAGGTATGAACTTATTTTTATTTGTTCTAGTATCTCATCAAATGCCCTTTTATAAGCTTTGTGTTTATTCATATTTGCTATGGTCATGTTTCTTAAGGACCTAACTGAATCCACTCATTCATATTTCTTGCTTCTTATTTAAAAATTCTTACTTCCAACATTCCTCCTAGTTAAGATGCCATTTTTTCTGGCCTCACTCTGGATCATTGTGAGTCTGAAAACTATACTAATGAGATAAGAGTTATTTTCAAAGATATTAAAATGCAACTATTTTGGAAAATATATATTCACATGGTCAAAAACAGTTCTGCTGACAATTTTTAGACTGTATTACAGAGTAGGAAGAAAAATGGGGAAGGTGAAAAACCACATTATTTGCAAATACACATTGCTTCTTCGTGTAACTGGCCCAAGTCTTAAAAATATGGTTTACGTTGCAATGTTAACATTTGTTAAGCTTATAAATAGCAAGCAGAGGTAACAGCTTAGGAAAGCAAGGATGAGGTGTGGTTATAAAGGAAAACAGAGTTCTATCCTGGCTGAATACGACAGCGACTTAAAAAAAAAAAAAGAAACAGACAAAACAGAGCTCTAGATCAAGGGCCAAAATTAAAATTAGACTCAGGGAGACCACTAAATTCTTCGGACAACTGAACAGGTTTAATATGTTAGAGTTGGTAAAAGGTTGCTTAGTTGGTAATTAAGTAAAAGCATACAAGTAGCTTTAAAAGTCCCTGATAGGTTTCAAAAATATGCATGGACGAAGGAGATAGTCAAATAATTGGTGAAAACATCTAAATAACAGGCCCTAAGAACCCGTGCCTTCAACAGGACACATGTGTGAATGCTTGGCTCTGAATCCATCTCCCTCCCCAACCGTCCTTTGGCCTTGGTTTGAATATGACATACTTCTGTAGGTTGGAGCTAACGAGGCTGAGCATCAGCAAAATGCACGTCACACAACCACAGTAAGAAGGTAAGGACTTGAGTCTTAAAGGTCATCTGGCCCAACTGCCTATTCACGAATAAAGAAATAAAAACAACGTGTTTGTCACTGAGGGCTGGACTAAGCGCCTGTAACCGGAGTGAGACAGAACCACCACCACTACGAAACAAAGCAAAGGAAGGTCTCAGTGTCAGTTTGAAGCACCTTAAAACTGGGGAACTCTCAGCCTCAAGAACTAAAAACCCCAGAGAACAGACGGACCTTCGACGGACCCACTCCCCACCCAGCCCTGCCCCTTGTCTGCCTTTTTCCCCTTCCTAACAGGAACCGAGATCCTCACCTGATCTTGGCAGTATCGATGGATAAAATCCCGGACGCAGCACCAAGCCGAAGTACACCGCACTGCTCTGCACCCGAAGCCGGGGCCGCGAATCCACACCAGCGCCGCGGCCTCCGCCATCTCGCCTCGTCCCTGAACCTCAGGACTCCCTGAAACACCGGACTCCCTGAAACACTAAGCGCCCCAACTAGCCCGACGCATCTCGATGACGCCACTACGTCGTCCAGCGCCCCTCCCCTCACGCTTCTGTTCGCCCCGCCCCTCCCCCGGGGCCTGTCACGTGAGCAAGCCCGGACGGGGGCGCCGGCGAGGGGGAGGGGAACAGGAAAAGCATGGCCGGGGCCGATAGGACGGAGAGTGCCCCGGTGAGGCGTTGCTAGGAGAAGTTGCTAGGGCGGAGCTCGAGGGACTGGCTATAAAAGGCTGGCGGCGAGTTAGGTTTCGGGCGTCCTGGCTGTTAAGTGATAAGGCTGTAACTGAGCACCGCCCTGTGCTGCAGGCTTTGGCCTTTTTCCCTTACATCTGTGTGGTTATTTTTGGGTCGCGGAGAATCGTGGCCTGAGAACGCGCTGCTCCCTGGGGGTGTGAAGAGAGAAGCTGCAGTCCCGGAAGCGATTTTTGGGGGGGGGTCACTGCCTTTGCCCGGGGGAACCCCCCCACCCGAGGAGCAAGGGGAAACGACCCTAGGAGGTCCCCAAACAACCACCCGCGTGGTTTTCCCCCCAGGTTTATAGAGTGTTCTCTTCTTTTCCAGAAACAGCTTCCTGCCAGCCACGCTCGATTTATTCTTATGTCAGCCTGTTTGCGCTCTGCGTTATCTCCACTTCTGCTCTGTTTTCAAAATATTTCACAGCAAGTGGGCCCCTTGTGAAAGGCAGTGACAGGAGTGACGTTTATACTCATGCTGCTTCAAAAAACCCTCCCATAACTTTTATTCTGCACCATGGAAACACACTCGGGCAGATTTGCATGACATAACTTTAGGCTTGGGGAATCTGAAGGAGTCCCTTAATATTTAATATGCTGAGATGATGGTATTTCTAAAATGCTGAACAATTTGAAAGCCACTAGCGTGAAAACAAGTTGGGTTATCAGGAGATATCTAAGCCTCCTAAACACAAATGTATTGGCCCACAGAATCACAGTCTCTGCTGTTAAGATGCTTGGCAATTGAAACTTCTTGCTGAGGTGAAAGCAACAAAAAATTCAGAAATCATTTAACTGTGGCAGTATGAGCAAAAATAGAATTTCGAGGCCTGTGAAGTTGGAGATTCTGTTGTCTTTATTTCACACAGGAGGGAAAGAGAGAAAGGACCTCCACTGGGATTCAAGTAGATAAAGAAAAGTTACAAAAAATAATTAAGGGCAGGGCGCGGTGGCTCACGCCTATAATCCTAGCACTCTGGGAGGCCGAGGCGGGCGGATTGTTTGAGCTCAGGAGTAGGAAACCAACCTGAGCAAGAGCGAGACCCCGTCTCTACTAAAAATAGAAAGAAATTAATCGGACAACTAAAAATATATAGAAAACATTAGCCGGGCATGGTGGCGCATGCCTGTAGTCCCAGCTACCGGGGAGGCTGAGGCAGTAGGATCGTTTGAGCCCAGGAGTTTGAGGTTGCTGTGAGCTAGGATGACGCCACGGCACTCTAGCCCGGGCAACACAGTGAGACTCTGTCTCAAAAAAAATAAAAAAATAAATAATTAAGGATATGTTGTGCCTAGAAAGCACTATTTTGCAAAGGTGGTGTCACAGTGACCCTAGTAATCAGTGCAAACTCCAGAAACATCAAGGCCCTCTGTAATCTCCCCAGGTGTCTATCCTCAGGGTTCCTGAACAAGTAATCTAGAGACCTAAGCCCTAAATCTCTTCTTTGTTTATTCATGATTTTTTTCTTTCCAGAGATCAAAAATGACTATTTCAAAGGTCTGAAGTCTTCCTCCACCACAAGTAACCATAAAAAGATCAGTTTAGATCTACATAATATTTTTGTGTCGGGATAATGCTTTGTATCCTGTAAGATTAAGTAGTACTTTCTAATAAGGAAAGTCCACATCATTAATTACTAACATTATTTCTAATCCTCTCAAAACCTGAAGTTTGAATGGAATTGCTCACTTTTTATCCCTCTGTTGCATTTAAATTCCTATTATTTAAAAAGTCCCAAGCATTGTATAGGCATTTGTCATTTAAAATATAAAATAAATATCGTTATTAGCTTTTCAACGACACAAATTTCCTGAGCAATCTATAATCTGTTGTTAAACCTTCACACTTATGAGCACTTGGTACCACGATCCTTTACAGAGTAGACATTAAGTAAATATTTAGATAGTTGATGAATTACTAAGGTATTAAGTCAAATTAATTCTTCCCAATCTATATCAGAAGAAACATAATTTGTGCCAATATAACACGTTCTGTCCCAAGGATGCAGAATTCGACCTCGATTGCTCACTATTAAATTCATTTAAACAATGGGGAAATTGAGGCACCTGACATTAGGGCTATGGCCAAGAATGCAATGCACGTAGTGGGGAAAAAAGGCAGCTAATTAGCTGGGTTACTGAGGATGTGTGGTGGTATCCAGTAGACAGTGCTTTCACACAGGAGGGAAAGAGAGAAAGGACCTCCACTGGGATTCAAGTAGATAAAGAAAAGTTACGAAAAATAATTAAGGGCAGGGGCGGTGGCTCACGCCTATAATCCTAGCACTCTGGAAGGCCAGAGGCGGGCGGATTGTTTGAGCTCAGGAGTTGGAAACCAGCCTGAGCAAGAGCGAGACCCCGTCTCTACCCCTGTGGCCAGGCTGGTCAGTGATTGTGGGAAAGAAGAGCCAACTGCTGCCACCTTCCCTACCTCATGGTGTCAGGAAAGGACAAGAAGGCACGTATACAATTATGACAAATAAATGGTGAGTGCTGGGGGGCCAGTTCCTCTATTGTCAAAATAATGTAGTCCGGCAGCCCTGCTCCTAGGACCATATTTGGTATTTGGTGTACTTTCCAATAAATCACACTGGCTTTGTTCCTGTCTATGTTCCCCAAAAGAATGCTGTAGCCATACATTTGCTTTTTGAGGACTGGTTCGGCCACCATGAGAGGGACACTGTGAGAGCATCCTGAGGCAGTATGGAATAATTGTTCATTGCCAGGAAATGACAGCACCAGAAAATGTTTGTGTGGCAACCCATGACAGAGGCTTAAATGAGCCAAATGTCATGCTGGTCTGCAAAAACCAGAAGCAGAGCTGTATACTGGCAATTTTCATAAACAACAGCAAGGCTCCTAAACTAGTCAATCTATATCCACGTGTGACATGCAGGTCACACTTCTGTGTTTTCAGCCATGTTCATGCTCAGAGGAGAGAAAAGGGGGTTGTTAATACCTTCATTATGACAAAAGACAATGGGACAGGCTGACTCTCCTGTGCCACAAATGCAAAACTGCCATGAACTCCCAAATTGGCAAGTGTTGCCTTATAGATGGCTCTGGCCCCAGGGACAATGAGGTCAGCTCCTGGGATGGAAAAACAGCTTCTGGCTAGGAGCTGTGTAGTCCACACCAGGTGGTGGATGGTGTGGGGGGCGGAGCCTGAACCAAGCCCCAAGATGCCAGGGAAGACACAGTTCTGCCCTCCTTCCTTTATCAGATAGAAGATAACAGGACAAAGGTGAGGTGGAGTTGAGACTAGGGTAGAAGTGCAGAGCAGAGATAAAAAGCTGGACCCACAGTCAGTGCTGAATGTGGAAGACCACCCCTTTGCAGTCTCAGCAAGACAAAAGGAGCTTCTCTCAGGTGGACTTCCACCAGTAAATTCTATCACTCCTAATTGCCCTAGTTATTGCCTTTTTTTGCATTATCATGACAACACTTGTTTACAAAGCTTCATTGATTATCTTTTTTTTTTTTTTTTGAGATAGGGTCTCGCTCTGTCACCCAGGCTAGAGGGCAGTGGCATCAACACAGCTCAATGCAACCTCAAACTCCTGGGCTCAATTGATCCTGGGCTCAGTTTGTCCTCCTGTCTCAGCCTCCCCAGTAGCTGGGACTACAGGCACATACCACCACACCCAGCAAATTTTTTTGTATGTTTTTAGAGATGGGGGTCTCACTATGTTGCCCAGGCTGCCTTTGAACTCCTGGCCTCAAGGATTGATTATAAGTGTGAGCCACCTTGCTGGCCTGGCTTGATTATCGTTATTCTTACCATCACTATCAAATAATGTTTTTCCATTAAAAAATTATAATTTCTGTGATGCTATTCACTGTATTAGAACTGTAAAGCAAAACTAGCATAGTGCCTATCTTCGAGGAATTTAGTATCTCAGCATTGAAATTTTTTTTTTTGAGACAGAGTCTCACTTTGTTGCCCGGGCTAGAGTGAGTGCCGTGGCGTCAGCCTAGCTCAGAGCAACCTCAAACTCCTGGGCTCAAGCAATCCTTCTGCCTCAGCCTCCCAAGTAGCTGGGACTACAGGCATGCGCCACCATGCCCGGCTAATTTTTTCTATATATTTTTAGCTGTCCAATTAATTTCTTTCTATTTTTTAAGTAGAGACGGGGTCTCGCTCTTGCTCAGGCTGGTCTCGAACTCTTGAGCTCAAACAATCCGCCCGCCTCGGCCTCCCAGAGTGCTAGGATTACAGGCGTGAGCCACTGCGCCCGGCCCAGCATTGGAATTTTTTCAACATTGAATTTGATTTCTCTCTAGTCAATAAAAATCCACGATCCTGTATGAATTCTGCATAGCCAAGCCTTTTAAAAGGAGATTTTCTTGCTAAAGAAGTGGTAGGTGCTTGGGAGTATTTTATTTTAATTAGCTAACATTTGTGTATGTCTATTGTAGTGGTCAGAGTTTTCTGGAGAAACAGAACCAACAGAATGAATAGATAGATGGATGGATAGGTAGATAAATAGACAGATAATAAGGAATCGGCTCACCTGATTATGGAGGCTGACAAGTCTCAAGATCTGCGGGGCGAGTTGGCAAGCTGGAGACCCAAGAAAGAGTCTGTGTTTCCGTTCATGTACTCAAGTCCAAAGGCAGAAAAAAGCTGATGTCCTAGTTCAAAAGCAGCTGGGCAGAAGGAGTTCTCCTTTACTGGAGGGAGGGTCAGCCATTCTGTTCTAGTCAAGCCTTCAACTGATTGGATAAGGCCCACAC